CCCACAAGGGTTTACGACGCGATAGGTCTAGAATACTGATGAAACATTATTCACTGGTGTTGGAAATAAAGGTTTTATAATGTGAATCTTGATATTTAAATTATACTGACCTAAATTGTTTAGGTGTGTAGCACTGCATACAGATCGGTGGTGATTTCTGTCTGAGTTGTATGAATATTTAGTTTATGGAGCGTTGGCTGTGCTCTCCAATGCATAAACAGTCTGGATGTTAACGTGTAGCATATGGGATGAATCAAATAGTCATATCATCCTTTGTAAATCATTTCTGTTAGCAACATCGTGGTTTTGTATTTTAAGCTTTTGCTCCATCATGGCAAGACGTCAGTATGACATAGAACTGTTAATTCGAAAAAAAAGGTTCCTAGAACAAGTTGAAGCCAGCTGAATAATAAGAAAGGTAAGTGGTAACTTACAAAGTTATTCGCTTGTATATTATTGACATTCTTCCCACTTTATTTTCTCCTGCTCTCTCTCCATCTCCTCTTCCTCTCTCTCTTCCTTCCTCTCTCTCCTGGACTTCCTCTCCATCTCCTCCCTCTCTCCTCCCCTTTCTCCTCATTACTCTCATTTCCTCTCCCATATCCCCTTCTCTCTCCCTCCCCTTTCTCTCCATCCCTCACTCCTGATCTCCTCGTCCTCGCTCTCATCACGCTCTCTTGTCCCCTGTTCTTTTATTCTTCTCCTCCTCAATAGCCATCTCCTCTTCCCTTCTCTCATCATTCCCTCTCCTCCCCTTCTCTCCATCACCTATTCCTCTACATCTGCTGCTCACTCCATCTCTTCTTCCTCTCTCTCCTTCTCTCTCTCCTCTTCCCTATGTCATCTCCCCTTTCTTACATCCTCCTTTTCCCTCCTCTCTCTTCCCCTTTTCTGTCTCTTCTCCTCTCTCTCATCATCTCTCTCACACTCACCCCATCCTCCCTTCTCCTCTCCCCGTCCTCCTCTCTTTCTTCCTCCTCTCTCCTCCTCATCTCTCTCTCATATCATAAGACGTATATTCCACAGTTGCTATATAGTACATTACCCCATCTTACAATGACCATTGTATATAAAATTAGAAACATGTATATTTGAAGATGAGATTAAATAAATTATCACTTGAAGTTAGAAAATTTTATTTTAATTTGATACTATATGCGATTGAATCCATAACTATAATATGTATTCCATTTTACCAAGACAGTAACCTGATAGGATGCACAAGATAATATCGTGTCTATATACTGCGGGTAAGCTAGCATACCGATTGACACACATTAATATTCACCACGCTTTATTCAGGAAAATGTCAGCTTGTAACGATGTGTTAAATATTGTCAGCATGAGAATATATCTAACGTTGTATTGCCTTTTCTATTCGTAGAATTTGATGGGGATCGTGTGGTCGCAGTGTCTTAGCTGGCAGAACGTACTCCGTTCCGTACCTGCTCATACGGTCAATCATTGGTTTTAACAGGTGTAGATTCGATAATTGTAATATAATTGGTAACAGCGGAAAGACATTTGGCTTTCTTTCGCGTTTTCCTGCATATATACACTTTCCTGAATGTATATACACTTTTCGTGACAGTGAACATAGATGCCATGGAATTGCATATAGATAGCTGTAAATGATAGGTCCACAGTCAGTTAACAGTACTCTGTCGTATTAATGCTCATATCGAATTATCACAGGCTACACAGGCTGATATGTTCGAACGTCCATATCATGGACCGCCATGGAGACGCCCACATAGTATCATACCACGACCGTTGATATCATACAGCTTCAGGAACACCTTATCATACAACGACCGCTGATATCATACAGCTTCATGGAGACTACAACACATTATCATACTACGACCGTTGATATCATATAGCTTCATGAAGACTACAACACCTTATCATACAACGACCGCTGAAAACATACAGCTTCATGGAGACTACCAACACATTATCATACTACGGGTGTTGATATCATATGGACAGCTTCATGGAGATTACAACACATTATCACGACCGTTGATATCACCGTTGATATCATACAGCTTCATGAAGACTACAACACCTTATCATACAACGACCGCTGATATCATACAGCTTCATGGAGACTACAACACATTATCATACAACGACCGTTGATATCATATAGATTCATGGCAACTTCAACACAGTATCATACCACGACCGTTGATATCATACAGCTTCATGGAGACTACAACACAGTATCATACAACGACCGTTGATATCATATAGCTTCATGGCAACTTCAACACAGTATCATACCACGACCGTTGATATCATACAGCTTCATGGAGACTACAACACAGTATCATACCACGACCGTTGATATCATACAGCTTCATGGAGAATTCAACACAGTATCATACTACGACCGTGGATATCATACAGCTTCATGGAGAATTCAACACAGTATCATACCACGACCGTTGATAGCATACAGCTTCATGGATAATTCAACACAGTATCATACTACGACCGCTGATATCATACAGCTTCATGGAGACTACAACACAGTATCATACCACGACCGCTGATATCATACAGCTTCATGGAGACTACAACACAGTATCATACCACGACCGCTGATATCGTAAAGCTTCATGGAGACAACAACACAGTATCATACAACGACCGTTGATATCATACAGCTTCATGGAGACTACAACACATTATCATACCACGACCGCTGATATCATAAAGCTTCATGGAGACAACAACACAGTATCATACAACGACCGTTGATATCATACAGCTTCATAGAGACTACAACACAGTATCATACCACGACCGTTGATATCATACAGCTTCATGGAGACTACAATACAGTATCATACCACGACCGTTGATATCATGGAGACTCTTACACAGTATCATACTGTGATTATTGATATCATGGAGTTTCACTGAGAACTCTATGCACTATCATAATTTGAAATGGCATATCACAGACCTTTGGAGAGATTGACATAAAACTACCAGTCCATGAGCTCGGCAATCACAGAACGTTATAGACACTGCTTTAAACTACACTTATTTCCCACAATTAGCTAAATTGTGGTGTTTCGTCAAGTCGTCCTTGAATTACACAGGCTGATCATCCCATACATTCCCATTGTATTTTATACTCAGTAATCTCCAGTGAGTCTATTCAGTGTGTCACTGGAGAGCGCTTGGATTCTCCATGCTCAATGGTTTGAAATGAGACTTCCATATTGCTCTCGTCACGAAATTTAATACTCTTTCAATATGGCTCTCGTCATGGCATGGGACTTTGATGGTTACAATAATTGATAATATGTTTCATAAAAATATTTGGAAGATTCCCAGAATTCATTAGTTCCATAACAGGGAGTATGCTTAAATGATACACTTTGTAAGTAGCTGAAAACAACACATATTTAGTACAGTTACCCGGGCAACGACATGACAGCGCGGGTAATCATGACTAAGCAAATATTACAAACCTCGACACAAAAAGCTCCTGCTAGTTCCTGGCATGTCGACAGTGTCTTTACGTGATAGACTAGAGTGATAGGTGGAGGTCAAGGTGGCACGCGCAGGCAGAGCGCCATAAATATGACGGGCTAATTTGCGATAATTCGGATGGACTGATGAATTGCCGTAAATATAAATATCTAAATAGATACATATACCTTGGGAGAGATGCTAGATGGGCAGAGAGACACAAAGCATTCACGTAGATTGATGACGGAAAACTAAAGAAACAGATGGAGTGCGAGCTAGGAGGTAACAACGCTGATGAGTAGATTACAGTGATGTATATGGATGGGTGGGTGAATGGATGGATGGATGGATGAGTGGGTGGGTGGATGGGTGATGAATGATGGGTGGATGGATGGATAGGTGGATGGATGAGTGAATGAATGGATAGATTGGTGGATGAATGAGTGGGTGGATGGATGGATGGATAGGTGGATGAATGAGTGGGTGGATGAGTGGGTGAATGGATGGATGGATGGATGAGTGGTGGATGGATGAGTGTATGAATGGATGGATTGGTGGATGGATTGGTAATGGGTGGATGAATGAGTGGGTGGATGATGGATGGATAGGTGGATGAATGAGTGGGTGGATGAGTGGGTGAATGGATGGATGGATGAGTGAATGGATGGATGGGTGAATGGATGGATCGATGGGTGTATGGATGGATCGATCGATAGCAGGTAGATAGGAATGGATAGATAGACAACAGTAATATCTGCAACATATATATTATCGAACGTCAGGCTCAGCTAGTGTCTTTGATGATAAAAAAAACTACGTTTATAATGAACACGCTTATAACGCGGTGACGGATATGACGAACTTTTGTACCGGCTACTTGCTGTATGTTTTAGTCTAGATGCGTATAACCAGAGACCATATACAACGAACTACGGCTATTACGAACTAAAACTAGAGTTCGATAAACCGTAGTTCTGTAACAGTTGATGTTGTTGTTGCTGTTGCTCGATCTTACTTGGATCTGTCTGGTCCAGACTCGATTATCTACAGACCGTTATCATCAAGCTGGAGTACCAGCAACTGCGGGTCTAAACAGCATGCGGCGAGAAAACTAGTTAAACCTATCTATTTCATAGTCGAAAACCCTGCCGGTAACAGAAAGCGGACACACATGTTACACACGAATGTCTCTATCTGTCCGAGAAATCGGTGTACAGGGAAGCAAATCAGAACTCACATACTGCAATTCTAAAACCCCGTCAATAACTTTATGATCAAGGATTGGTTCGCTATTACAATACTTGTCAATCGCGATCGTCTGTTGCAACAAGCTGGTGTGAACAACACGCCTCGTGACCTGCTATCAACACCGCCGGTTTGGCTGCGTGCGGCTCCTCGCACGGCCAGTTAAGTGGGTCAGTGTGTCAGTATTACAGTGTGTCAGTGTTACAGCTAGGAAGTACAATCAGCCTCGGGCCAAGCCTCGTTGCAGTACTTGTCGGCTAGCCTACGCGATAGACGTGCATCCGTGCATTGTGCTGGCCTAGTGTTTCAGCGACAGGGGACGTGGAACTCAGTCTCGCCGAGACACCCAAGGAAGACGGTCTAACATCACACTGGTAGAAACCAAGGGAACGCTTAACTGTTATATAATAGGACGGCAGTCGCTCAACTCCCATCAGCTGATCGTACGGCAACCTGTGGATTTCTCCGTTCGACAAACACGGATTTCTCGGCTCGTGACCAACAAACTTGTTCCCGTATAGGAGCTGGTCTGTTCTCCTGACTAAAAGACTTATCTTCTACATTTTTCAAGATTCGGTCTATAAATGCTACTCCCAGAAGAAAACCCGTTGCAAACTTTGCCCCTGTCTAACCAGTACGGTAAGTGTTTACACTATATTAACGGGGTCTGGTGATATATATTTCCATGTGCCGGGGTTTTCTTTTATATACATGTCAGTGTGGTTGATGTAATATTGTGCTGATTGATAGTATTCAGTTGTGCATTCTTACTTGACATGACATCTTGTTTCGTTGTGTCGGTGTCACGACTGGGTTAGCTTCGCCGGCTCCGAGCAGGCAACTGTTGTATTTTTTCAGGGTGTTTCGTGTTCCGTTTTAATTTACTTTGATATTCATATGTTTAAACTTGTTTGAATTCACAATTCATCTGATTTTCTACACATCTTCCAGTGTAAATAAAAATACTTTTTCAGAAACTCAGAAAAGGTTTGTGAGTTTTGTCACACATTGTTATATGGAATCTGGAGCCTTTCCATTCTCGTCTACTGTAATGAGTATCTGTGAGTGCTACCGAGCCTTTTATTTGACACTGCGGTGTCATGGCAATCGTTGTCACATTTCAATAATTTGTTTCATGAGTTATTGTCCAGCAATAATTTATTGTATCTGTGTTTATAGACTATTTCCTAGGAACATACGTCGGGAAAATTATCAATGTTTTAATCAAATCATTCACTTTTGAGTACTTAAAAACGAATAACATATCAAATGATAAATATGCCAAAGTATTGATCCTCTTAAAGTTTTAAAATAAAACAAGTTCATGTCAAATAATTATATTAGAAAAAACTGAAACAAATAAAAAATGTAATTTTGATAAAAAAAATTATAAAAATGAATTCCAAGACTGATATCAGTGATGCAGTTCACTGTTTAGTCCAGCATACAGCTAGACGACTTTGCACTATACCAAGGTAGGCCTGGGCTGGAATATATATTTATATGAACTACTCATTGGTGTGATATTCTTCATATTTTAAACATGGAATTATGTATTCATATACTGCTAGCAATTATCATACAGTTAAGGCGACGTGTTTAGTATTTCACATTATCAAGTTAAGTACACTGGACTTCATTCCATCCAGGTGATAGTCGGAGATCTGTCTGTATGCATAAGTAGTGTGACATATGTGGCCATCTGTACGGCTATTTAATCTTTATTGTTATTTGACTATAGATATGCAATTCATCTTTCATAAACCTATGTTTTATAATGTTGGGAACATGTCATGTAAACAGTTGGCTTCAACCAGCCAGCAGGTTCCGGTGTACAACGTTCAAGTACTGAACTATGTTCGAATTTCTGTAACCGATAAAAGAACATAATTTCAATATCCTGTCCTTTATCAGTATTTTTTATCTGGTCCACAATTAATATGAGAATTTGCACTATTAATAACAAACCACGAGCGACAGACGACGAAGGTAGTTTAACCAAACGTTGCCATTGAATGGTTTCCGTAGCTCTCTATAATAAATGTGCCATAGTGTTGAAAGCTTGTATTGTTTACGCGGTGAATACATCGAAAATGAATGTGATTGTGATCTTGGTCGTTTTTTAATTGGTCAGCGTTAGTACACTGTTAAAGCCTGTAGTTACGCTGGGTGACTCGTGAATCCGACTGGAAAACAGCTGTTGCAATTATATGTAAAATGTAGAATCTGACTTCAATGTGACGCATTGCCTCAATCAATACAAACTATCATGATACTGGGGGCAACATGTGTGGATGTTCTTTGGTGTTTCCGTAGTTCCATCCGTGAAGAAATGCTTTGTTTAGTGCAGCAATATTTGATGTGTTTATTGGTCTGTACAAAGAGATTCATTGCACAAAGAGATTCATCAATACTAAGTGGACATTAATCATTAATAAAAAATCTTCAGTTAGACCAAGCAAATGTATGAAAACATGCTGATATTGGACTAAAACCTACATGTTGTTGTTGTGCGGTGGTGCACAGTGATATTAGTTGTATATTGACATTGTTGATGATACCCCCCCTCTCTCTCTCTCTCTCTCTCTCTCTCTCTCTCTCTCTCTCTCTCTCTCTCTCTCTCTCTCTCTCTCTCTCTCTCTCTCTCTCTCTCTCTCTCTCTCTCTCTCTCTCTCTCTCTCTCTCTCTCTCTCTCTCTCTCTCTCTCTCTCTCTCTCTCTCTCCCTCCCATATGCTCCTTTCGTTCACATGTACATGTGTCACACATGTTCAATGACCAGGAAGTGGTGAGATCTGAGGTTTGGGTTTAATTAGATGAAGGATATCGTGCCTATATATATATTGTTGCTGGCCTTTGAAGAATGATATACTCCAAGAATACAAGAATGACATTAATACCCGTGTCCCTCTTTTTAATACCGGAAATCCATCAAATGTGTTGTTTTTCTGTTTTTCATCTTACAGAGCTCATTCCAATTCCAATGGCGCTTGTCCACGCACCTCAATATAAAACCACTGCTTGACTCCCGCTTCACTGTGCTCCATTTTCCTTTCAACAATACATGTAAAGACATTGTATTCGGTGAAACAGCAGAGTATATCTTGCAAGAAGTTTTGTGTAAGTCAGCCCGCCAAGGTGTGTAGAGCATAAGGGTAGCGGATGGCCGGAGGTTCGACAGCCTAGCTGGCAGTAAAGGGGTGGGGTGGGGTGAAGTGGGGTGGGGATCAGGGACTGGCAGATCAGTTGTAATAATGTGTCTGTATATGGTACCCTAAACCTCGGTGGTAGAACAGAGGGCACAACAGACGCTGAAAATAGCAACATCTCTCTCTCGCTCTCTCTCTCTCTCTCTCTCTCTCTCTCTCTCTCTCTCTCTCTCTCTCTCTCTCTCTCTCTCTCTCTCTCTCTCTCTCTCTCTCTCTCTCTCTCTCTCTCTCTCTCTCTCTCTCTCTCTCTCTCTCTCTCTCTCTCTCTCTCTCTCTCTCTCTCTCTCTCTCTCCCATGAAGTTACACTCCACTTCACATTGGGGGCTGTTAATTTACAATTTATACATATACAACCCTCGGCTGCCAATTCAGATTTTTTTCTGGATGACTATTATGGATAAGACTCTGGTTGCTGCGTCCATGTAACGCCGGTCCTGCGTTTTATAGCACGCACAAAGAATGCCTTTCACTTGACCCAGTCCACATATCCCGATAAGCTATATTCGCATAACTATGTAACACATATTCTTCATAACTTGTATGCCTGAACTGTGTGACAGGTACAGCTGTGTCTATTTATGTCCTTTTTCCATTGAAATTGTTTGCATTAAAGTTCCAAGCTGCTTATATATGCAAATTTTAGATACTTATATGCACTTTATTAACGATTATTATAATTTTGCTGGACTGTTGATGTTCAGAGACAGCTGTCTATGCAGCAATATTTGGTTTGCACTGGTAACGTTTTGATGTGGAAGTACAGACAATTACGAGGTTTGGGGATGATTTTCTTCAACCATTCAATGAATATATTTGCAGTGCATCTCGACTTGTTTCTCAATCCTTGAGGCAACAATTTATATTGCCAGCAATTGTCCAGATTCCATAGCAATGTCCGTGATAATGTGGAACATTGTATACAACACTTGTTTGCCCGTCAATCTTGCGACAAAAGAAATGTTTAACTTTTATGTAGATTGAACAATTTTTTAAGGAAACGTTAATTTCAGTTTACCATGTATTTTTCATGTGGCAACATTATTATTTTACAGATTAACATAATGCAGCAGAGATGAGATTTTTTTTGTTATTAGTATTAATATTGACCTGAGATATGTTTAATTCAAAGGGCTAGGATGAACAGAAAACCGTTTTTACTGTAAATTCGTATCAATGCGACTGTGGCGTTTATGATTAAATAGCCCTAATTCTGTTGTGAGCATGAGAGAGTTGTCTCCACACGTTCATCATATGCCTCTTCAATGTATATTATTATTATTATTATTATTATTATTATTGTTATTAGTATTATTATCATGTACAGACGGTGAATCACGAAAAACATTTGTAGTCATTGTGGTATCTCCATATATTAATAACTTCAGATACACAAGGTGTATCCATACCACGTGTTCCTAAGTCTGAATGAATTGAATGAATCATTGTAGGATTATTTCTGAAATGCACCATTTGGATTTTGTTAGAATACTGAAATACTGGTTCATTGAGAGCTATGGTGGAAGGAAGGAATACTAAGAGAAACACCTGTGTTTGCTTTGACTTGCTTGGAAAAATATATTTCCAATGTGTGATAAGGTTGAATTTGAATTTAAAAAATACTTTTTAGATTGTTGGATTGTCACGAGGCGATTGTTTAATTATTAGTTACACGTGACTGAAAAAATAGGGATCTCAGAGAAACAGTTTTTGTCATGCAGTTGATGTTCAGTCCCTATGAAAATGTTCTTGTTACGATGTCGTGAACAGTGTGATACCAAGAACGACATTATACTGATCCTTTATTCTTATACTTGCTATCACTCTAGGGGGAAATCAACACTGACCTCTATAGTCATCTCTAATCTCAATCTCATCGCATCAGCCCTCATTTGCGACTCGCTTCACTTCAAAGGTTATCATTTGTTAACTTGGTTATTTCATCATATTTAACACGAGGATGTGGATACAACCATCATCAACATAGGACAAATGCGACTAAGATTCATATAAGTGAGTAAACTATTTACAAAACGTATGGAGTTTATAAAACACGTTTTCATCAGATAAACTAACGGAAGGGTACTATTCGTTGGACAACTCTCAATTTTCTATTTATCTTGATTCCCTTTGTTCATCAGGTTACAGTTCTCACAAAATGCCATGTGTCTGATAGGATAAGGTTATTATTATGACTAAGAAGATGATCATGGAAAATCAATGAGCATACAGAAAAAAACGTTCCCTAAAAAATACTTTATAAAGCATAAACTCTGTAGTAAATGCACTGCAACATGACGGTTCAGTATAAAAAAGGTATACGCATTTTCACTCGTTTAATGAACTTGGTTTCTGTTTACTTGACTTATTGGTCAGATTGAAGTGTGTTTATCTTGTATAATGCTAACTAGTTCGGTATTAAACAAAAGTTCAA